TGTGACCAAGATTACAGATATCTGGATCCAACTGATAATCTTAACGTTAACCAATACAGATCTAGTTTTTTCAAAATTATCGTCTGTGGGATTCGAACTCTAGACCTGCCATTTGGGGGTGCAGCAACCCCACCACTTCACTAGGTCGGCATACCTTTCTTATTATATTATTTAACTTATGAATGCTTCGATTTTATATAGAAATCTCAAGATGAAATTATAAGTTTGTCTAATCAAAAGCATTTAAATATAACTATATTCTTTATCGCACTTCATTTCTGATATTATTTGACAATCAGCTTTTTCATAAGTTTTAATAATGAATATAAATTCTGCTTGTTTATTACCTAGCTAACAATAAAATAACAATTATTTGGCAATTTTATTTGTACTTACAAATAAAAGAGACATTGATATTCCCAAAATTCAACAAAATTTTTTACACATTATTGGCTTAACTATATTTAATTAATTGATAATCGATCTATCTATTGTTCTTGAATTAGATTCGGCCTTTAGATTATCTATAAACATAGATATACCTAATTAAAAGTCAAATTTGTTGAATAATTTAAAGATTATTCTATTAAATGACAAATATTTATTTAATGAATTGATAGTTTTGAGTTTGACACTATTTACTAAAATGGGTTACATATTCAGGTTTTGGTTATGAATTCAAACTAGGTAGAAATACTAATTCCCAAACCCAAACTAAGTAGAAACATTGTAACTAAAAAAAAGAGTTTAGGTCACAACTCTAATCAGTATATAAAGTAAATATTTGTATATTGTGGTTGCTAAGAGTGAATTGTACTAGTTGTCAACTTGCTTTACTATTATAGAACAGGCTAAGGCTAGAGAGTCTATAATATTTAGACTGGGCAGAGGTAGGATTATGATAGGATGTTTGATAGCTATAGAGTATAGGAGGTCAATATAATTGGTATTAAGTTTAAGCTACTTATTGTGTGTTTTTCTTCCGAGAAACTATGTAAACAAAATATTTGAGATCTAAATAGTACAATAGTTAAAAAGCTAATTGAAGTTAAGATTGCAGTCTAAGTATGAAGTACATATAATCGGTAGAAGTAGATATAGTAAATAGTGTTGTAGGTTTATATTATGTTGTCAGTGTATAATAGATATTAAGTTAGTTTGTTTAAACTTTTTTCTTATCCATTCTATAATAATCTGGTCTTGGTAGTACATAAGTAGCCATAGCTTTAGTTTTTTAGAAATAGTACTAGATTGGTATAAAAATAAGTTGGTACTAGGTGGGTGAAATTGTAGAAGTATAGTTCATAAGCTGGGGTTATTAAGAACCGTAGTTTCTAGAAAAAAAAACTATAGAGGCTTTTTCTCATTGAGAAAGTATTATAATCTTGGGGAGATATATTGTCATTTTAGCAGGTGTTTATTGTCTATTAAGCTAAGCTATTTTAAGTAAAGAATATACGTGTATCAGAGCTATTGTTTAAATATTTAATAGTTGGCATTTTTGGATAGTATGGACTTAAGAGGTAAGTTGCTATCATAGATTGTTTGTGGCCAGGCTATGTTGGAGTTTGCTACTATGCTTATATCTACTTGTCAGAGCAATTAGATAAGTTTGCAAGTAGTAGTGTACTTGTTGGGTCTATCATTATGGGGCAGAAGGTGTTGAAATAAGCTAGTAGTTAACCAGAGATTATTTTGTAGTTGCTAAAGTCTTATATGAGTTGTAGTTCCGAGGGTAGAGTTGTTGTTAATTATTAAAAAAAAGTTGTTAGTATGATGCTAGAGCTGTATTTTCCAGATATTGTAAATAATGTATATATATTGTGATTAAGCATTGTACTATTAGGTGCAGATCGGAAAAGGTTGGCCCTGTGTTTAGCTATTGTGAGGCACTTCTCTAGAATTTTTAGATATGTTGATTGTGGTATAACAATGTTGTGAATTCTGTATTCAATAGTGGGAATTATTATAGTGTTAATAACATAGATTATTTGTTTGTCTATTATCTTCTTAGTATTGGCTATATATACAAGATTGAAAGTCTCTTCTTGGATAAATTTAACTTGTTTAAATTGTTTGTTGTCTAGTGTAAACCAGCATTCTAGAAATTTGAATGGCTGATTAAGGTGAGTTGAAGCAAGGCTAGTTTGCAAAAAAGAGATATTTGTAACTAGTTGATTTGATATGAAGACTGACTTGGAGTGTTAATTTGAATATTAGCTATTTTATAGAAGGATGAGGCAGTATATATTATTTTTTCAAGATCTTTTTTGATTTGGGCTATCTAGAGAGTGTCATCTATGTAAGCAAGAACAGATATTGAATATAGCAGATGTTTTGAGGAGGGTGAGATAAAACTAGATTGCCATGATGTTTGTATTGTATAGCTAGGCAGGTTAAGTGATATGTTTGTAATGAGTGGGTTGTAATATATTTTTCAGAATAATAGTGTTATAGTTTTTCTTTAATCGATAGTATTCTGTACTGAGTAGTAGTTAGTAAGTCCAAAATTAGTAATGACTTGGTTAGTGTGGTCAGAGAGAAGATTGGAAAGAATATTAATAAGTAGTTAGGGCATTTTAATTCTGTGAAGAGATTTTTGAAAAAGGTCAAAATTGACAGAGTCATAGACCTTGCTCATGTCTTGTGAGAGAATCCAGAGTTAATTAGAGCTACATGTAGCATCTTCTATAATATTGTTAAAGATGTGGATTTAGAATTGTCTGAGAGTGCTATGTAGTTAAAGGAAAAGAGAATTAAATATTCAGATAGAATGTTGTTGAGATAGTTGGTAAGGAGTTTTGTGTAGAGTTTTTTGATATACTTAATAAGGCTAATAGGCCTAGTATTGAATAGGTTGCCATCAAAGATTGATTTTTTGAAAATTGGGTAAATTCTTCTTTCTTTTCATTGTTTGGGATTAATTGGGAAAAGAGACATCAGTTGAGCAGTGCTGTGATAGCTTGTAAGAAGTTGGGTCCTGCATGTTTGAGCATTTCATAGCTTACTCTAGAGGGCCCACAGGCCTTGTTATTTGGTAGCTAGCTAAGAGTAAGAAGTATCTCTTTATGAGTAAAGTTAGCAAGTGTTGTTGTGTACCAGATGTATGAGATATATGATTTGGGGTTGTATTCTGCCTGCTAGTGTTCTTTGAGTAGATCTTGGTCAATTGGTCAGAGAGCTGTCTAGTTATTAAAATATTATTAAATGTGAAACTTAATTGAATATGGGTCTGTAATGACTGCCTGGTCTAGCTTGATATTATTGAATCTGACAGAGTCTTTTTGTTAATTAAGAATACTGTTGAACATGGATGTAAGGCTTGATTGAAGCTTTGTACATCTTTTAGAAATTGCCTCTAAGATTTGCTAGTGTGTTTGTTTGATATTTTCCAAATTACATACATGGTATAGCTTTTTCCACTCAGTATTAGCTACTACTAGCTAGTTGGTAGCAAGCCAGGATATAGTAAAAATGGCAAATATTTGAAGGTCATGTAGCTAGTTTAGTTAGGTAATAGTAGTGTTGTGCTAGATACAAGTCTGGCAGTTTGTTTTGATTGAGTGCTTGACTTGTTTTATAATATTGCCAAGTTTTTTAAAACTGTGGTGCAGTTGTATAGCTTTAGAAGAAAAAGTGTAATAGAAATTGTAAACTATAAATTTTTAATTAGGTATATGGTGAAGCACAGTGGTAATAATACTAGTTTGAATCTTGTACTAGGTGGTTTCAAGAGTTTCTAAGGTAGAAGTAGAGAAGAGTACATGGTGTTGTTGTAGGTTAGTATTGACTTGATCAGTAAAGTTTTTCTATTTTTCTTTGTTTATATATTTGTAGTTAAAGATTCTTCTCTTAGTTCAAGTTTTGTATCTGGATTGTCCAGTTGTAGCGAAAGAAAAAAGCCAATGAGAGATTAGAATTTTGTGATTACTTAAAGTACTAGAATTAGGGTTGTTAGTATCATAATCAGTAAAGTATTGGAGGATTGGTTAATAGACCAAATATAATCAATTTTTCTACTGAGGCTAGCTCTGTGTCATATAGGAGCTGATTTATAGGAATGTGAGGCCAGGTTATACATATTGTTGTATGTTAGATATTGGAAAAGCTTGTATTTAATCAATTATGAGTGGATATTATCTGTGGATGCATTAAAATCTCCTAGTGTGATTAGAAGGATGTTTTGTACTATAGCTTGCTGTAGCCATTAGATGATTGTATTTTGTATTAGCAGTCTAAGCTGTGCATCATTGCTTGGCAGATAAAGAGAAATAATATGGAATTTGAAGTCATTTTTAAAAAAGAGATCAATTGCTATAGCATAGCCTAGAACTGTAAGGATTTTGTAAATATGAAAAATAAGTAGTTGCAGATTATAATAGCTATTCTGGCATGAGAGCTGTTGGTATATAATCAATAATAAATATAGTATGGTGAATTGTACTGCTTATAATGAACTGTTTCTTTAAAGAGTTTGGTCTCTGTTAAACTAATAATATTGAGGTTGTGCTATATGCAGTAGTTTTTCCATATTTTTTTTTAGTGTTTGTGTTAAGTTTTTGCATATTGTGTGTGCCAATAGAGAGTGTAAGAGAGTAAAGTGTATTACTAGTGTTTGGTTGGAGAGAGTTAGTCATAAAAGTGTTCATTAGTGTCTATTGATAATGTTTTATCCAATAGAAAGGTATTGCTTGTATTTGTTGATATTGTATTGGTGGTATCTTGGATGTTTTCCTCTGTGGGGCTGTTGCAGATAATGTGGAAGATGTGATATTGTCTGTGATAGGGGCCAGACTAGCAAAGAATTGGATGGTGCTAGAGGTATTAGGGTGTGATGCTCTTGCTAGGTTATTGAATATGCTCCAGTTAGGGGTAGAGAGAAGTAGGAGTTTGAGCAAAGTATCAGGTATCATTCTGATAGTATAGAATTGCTTTAGTTTCTTTATAGTTGGGGTAACCTTTGTTAGCTATTAGATTAGAAGCAAGATGATAACCTCATGTTTAGTAAGGGTTTTAATGATTTCTTCAATGTTGTTAGGGATCAGAAGAAGTGTTTTGGTAGTTGTGTTGGTGTTGTTGATATTAGTGCTATTGGGAAGGTTGTTTTCTATTTTAATCCAGCTAGTAGAAAGTTGAATAAAGTAGTAATACTTGCGAAAAAGTCTGGCTATATCTATGAGTTGTTGTGTATTTGTAATTGGTAGGGTGATGTTAAAGTATACTGTTATTTCTTTAGCTGTGGAAAGGGTAGGTTTGTTAATTGGGTTTGCTTTCATAATTTCTGATAAGAGTGAAAATTAAATTCTGTAATAGGGGAAGACTTGTTTAAGAAATTCTCTGGCTACTGTGTTCTCTGTTATAGGGTAAGTAAATGCTGTTTTGGTCTTGATTTTGCTAGTGTCTTTTGGTAAAGGAGGCTTTGCAACAAAGTAGTCATTAGGAAGTAATTTGAAAGTGTAATATTCTCTAAGCTAAGCAATGATGTTAGTAAGTGGAATAGTAGAGGTGGCTGAGTTGAATGGAAAGAATTTGCAAACTCTGTGGTTAAGTTCCTAGTAGGTAGTAGGAAGAGGTTTCTTGAAAGATAGTAGGTTGAAGTAAGTGTCAGGGATCTGAGTTATAGTATAGAAGTCTGCTAGTTTTCTCTTGTATACTGCAAGGTGCTGGAGTGAGGATCAGTGAATAATAGGGAATAGTTGATGCAGACTAAGTATAAGTTATTGTAGTGTGGAGTAATGGAGAAAGTATGCCTCTAGAAGTTCAGAAAACTTGAATACTCTTCTCAGAGCATTTACCACTGCTCTAATATGCGACTTTTAGATAATTAAAAACTTAAAGGGTAAGACCTTACAGATTTCCTTAGATATCTGATCTGAAGAATCTGGTAGAGGAAGGAGCCTGTCTTCGATTGCTTTGTTAATTTGTATTTTGATTTCTTTGTATGTGTTATTAATTGAGTCTTTAATTTGTAAAAAGCCCCTAGCATATATAATAGCTCTGACTAGAGGATGTTCAGTTTAGGTTGATGTTGGTAAGATATTGTAAAATAAGCATCTTTCTAAACATCATGTAGATTGTATTGTGGGTTGTAATATTGGTTAGTGTAACTTCATTTTCTTTTTTGTATATAGCTAGGGCATTGTCGAAGTGATTAGTATATTCTTTTTGATATATGAGTGTGGTTTTGGGGTTATAGATAAATGTGGCGAAGAATCTGGTATTGAAGTAGTTAAATTTAAGTGCAATTGCATCTGGAAGTTTAAATGTAGTGTAAGATGTGGTTAGTTTATAGCTAATGAAGCTATTTATTCTTGCAGAAGTCTCAAGGGCTATAGTAATTCTGTTATATATCCACAAGTCAGTGTTGAATGATGTAATAGTAGAGGCTATAATCTTGTTGTAGACAATTGTAGCTCATTTCATATTATCTAGAGTATTGGTAGCAAGAAGCTTAAAACTGGTTTGAATGACTTGGCTATATGTAGGTTTGGAAAAGGTGGGCTGGGTATTGAAAAGAGGTTTGAAAATGCTGCCAAATACAGATTTAGAGGCCTTGTTTGGAGCTATAATAAGTAGAGATACATTGTTTCTAAGTTTTTTTGTGATTAGTATTAGTAATAGCTAGATTTGTAGTATTAGAGCTGCTTGCTATATTTGCTGCTAAAGTAATTTGGTTGGTAGAAGAGCTAGGTCTGGCTAGAATAGATTTTTTTATGTAGCTAGTAGTAAGGTTGCTAGTAGTAGCTATACTAGTTGTGACCAGGGTAGGTACAGTTGTGTTTGCTTCTACAGGGATGTTGGTGTCTTTGTTTGTATCCTTTGTAATATTTATAGAGGGCTTAGTTGTATCTGTAGAAGTGTGTACTAGTTCATAAGAGGTAGCAAAGTATGTGATATCTTCCATATTACTTTTGTTTGATTTATTGTCAGATTTTATTTGTTTGATAGTGTTGTACAGAATTCTAGACAGGTTAGTAGTGCTTTTTGCCTTTGTATAAGGTTTTATATTACTTTCATAAGCATTTGTAATAGTTGTAAGATCACAGTTGTGGGTAGATTTGGGGTGTTTGGCACTAATATTTACAATATTGTTTTTTTGTGTAGTGAGGTCAAAGTAGGGTTTGGGGCACGCTTTAAAAATTAGGCATGCCTTTAGAGGTATGCCTGGGTTAAGTCCATGCTCTATAGGTATACTCTTTTATACTTATGTGATAATAGACTAATTATAAATATAAAAATAATAATTGTGGCAGATTAAAATAAAATCAGATTAAAATGAAATTTTTCTATTTTTTTAGAAAAATTTAAAATTTTTTATAGAACATTTTTTAGGGTTAGAGTTAGTGTTAGAGTTAGGGTTTAGAGTTAGTTTTATTAATAAAAAAGTATAAGTAAGTTTTGTAAGCTTTAAAGATGAGCAAAAAAGGTCCCTAGTTTCATTTTAATCTAATTTTATTATAATCTGCCATAATAATTAAGTAGAAAAAAAAAATTAAAACACTTATACACAAGTATGCCTTAAGCTAAAACATGCTTCTTATATCTACAAAAATATTTTTTTTTAAATTATATAATTAATATATAGTTTGCAACTTTTTAAAAATCTCACATATTGTTTAGAATATATAGTATTTATGTTTTTAGTCTTATCTAAACCTATTAGCTAATCAAAATAACTTTAAATATCACATGACAAGAGCATACTTTTTGAACTTTAGGTATGCCTATAGGCATACTCTAGGGGTATGCCCTTAGGGGCATGCCTCATGCCCCTTTGCCCTAAACTCTAGGTCAAAGAGAATTGATTGGGTAGAATCATCATGTTAATATATCTATTGTGGTGGGTAGTTAACTAAATTTAGAATCTTGCCAGATTTGGTAATATCGATATAGAAAAGAAAATTACTAGCATACTTTGAAATAGAGAAGCTAACAATAAAAGAGGGTTTGGACCAGTCTTTGATAGTGATTTTAATAAAATTTTTTGTGTGTTCTATTTCTGAGACTGGTGGCTGGGTAGTAGCAGAGGTAGCTTCTAGTTGTACAAATATGCAGGACATAGAAAAATAGCCAAAAAAGCTAGAAGAACTTTCTGAAATCATATTTTCAGTGGAGAGCTAAGGCTTGGTAAGGTAAATTGTTTGGTATTTCTTGATATTTTTGTATAAAAGGTTGATAATAATTTGTTCTGAGCTGCTTGAATTCTGAGAGTCCTTAGAACCACTTTTGCAAGAAGATAAAAAAACTAGTTTTTTGCTTTTGAGGTGTTTATTGCTACTAACTTGATGGAGTAAAAGCTTTTCTTGAAAAATGCTTCTCTTTTAGATACTTTTATAAATGCTAAGTAACTTTATTTAGAAGTCAGATATCAATTTACTTAGTAAGTTTTCAAGATAATGTCATGGAAAAATTTTTTCTTCTTGTTCCAATTTGGTAAAAATGATTTACAAGAAGAGTTCACAAAAAAGATAACATATTGGAAATATAAAAGAAGTTAAAAACATTATTAAAATTAGAGAACTTTGTAAAACAAACAAATATAAATATAATATAAAAATAGGAGAAAAAGATCTAACTAAGAAAGAACAACGAGAAGTACTATTTAAAAATACAGATGAAAGATTTATGAAAATATTAAACCTAATATTTATAAAATATATGGATATATTTTAAATAAAAAAAGCAAAAGAAACAGTATTTAATAAAAAATACTTTAGAAAACTTAAAAAATTCAAATTAGAATTAAACATATCAGAAAAAAAAATTCTAGCAAACCATAAAAATAGACCAATAAAAAATTATTCTGAAAACCAAATAGAACAATTAAAGAAATTATATAAAGAATTTTTATTTTTTTTTTTATTAATATTGTTATATTAATGGTATATTAGTATTTTTAAAATTTTATTAAGTAACTCTGTGTAACTTCTAATTGTAGTACAAATCTGATTCCACCAATGGAATCCTTGATATTGATTTCCTTAGCATAGTTTTTACCGTTTGTCATTCAGGTTAATAGTTAACGAGTTATTAAGGCTTAAAGATATATAACTATAGAAAATGACGAATAATAATCTATCACTCTTGTGATATGGACCCGTTGGTACAGACCTGTTGGTATAGACCCATTGATACAGACCCGTTGGCACAGACACAGACCTGTTAGCACAAAATATTATTCGTTCTTACATAGAGTTCTAAAAGATATAAAAACCCTGTCTTTTTGCCCAAGGCAGGATAGATTTTGTCTCCTATTTTTCCTAACCTTTCTTAATAAATAAATAATATATCTTTGACCATATACCTACTACCATGTATATGCTTTTTTTATTGAGTTTTTATAGTGATTTTATAGTGTCTTCTTTGAGTTTTTCCTTAAGTTTTTATTCTATTTTTATTGTATTTTTCTGGGTTTTTCTTCCTATTTCCTATATTTTATATTCTATATCCTGAGTTATTTTTGAGTTTATGGCCTTTGAGTTTGTCTTCTTTGAGTTATATTTGAGTCTTCTTTGAGTTTTATTTGAGCTTTACCTTTTTGTATATATATATCCTTACCCTCTTCACATTAAGTTAAGTAGTATAGTTAGCAAGGCTAGCTTTCTATATTACAATATATATAACAATCTATTTCAAACCTCTTAATTATTATTATATTCTTAGAAACTTATATATCTTTTAGCTTATTAAATAGACAATTTCTTATATAGCTTAATAATTTTATTTACTATAATTCAATATCTTTACTTCTCAATTATATAGTCTAGAGGTTTTTTAACCATTTTAGCTAAAAATAGATTGAGAGTAAATTTTAGCTCAAACTTCTACTCCTTTTTGTTAAATGTATAAATTTGTACTAATTATATTTAATTATATATTTTAAAATAAAGAAATAAAAAAAAGATTTTTCTTAAAAAATATATATATATATATATATATATTAATAAAGAATATATAACTTGTTATAAAAACTTTTTTTAATAAAGCTCTTGTATTTATAAGCTATATTTTAATCTGGGTAAATATAGTATTTTATTTATTTACAATATAAGTTAGTTAGAGTGTGGTGATTTAGTAAAGTGATGAAGTTGTTGCACCCCAAATAGCAGGTTTAGAGTTTGAATTTTATAAACAATATTTTTAAAAAATAGTCTTGTGATATAGTTAATAGCTATTTGATAATTAGTAGAATTTAGAAATCTGTAGCCTTGGTTATACTATTCTAGAATAGAAGCTCTGGTGCAATAAATCTGAGATATCAAAATAACTAAAAATCTGTTTGGTAAGTTTCAAGTTAAAAGGTAGTATGATTTTTAACAGTACTATATAAGAATTGAATTTGAATTTAGAAACTAAGATCAGAGAACCGAGCAATCAGATTTTTAAATAGGGAGACATATTAGCTGAACTGCCAAATTGCCAAACCAAAAAAAAAAGATATATACTCTGAAAACATGTATTAAGAGAAATAATATTAAAAACTCTTTCCCGTAGATCATCAAAACAATAAAAATTGAGATAAAAAATATATTTTCGAATAGAAGAATACAAACATTTCATATAATTTTGACTCTTAGATACTCTAAATATTTCTTAACAGACCCCAACAATACCACACAAAGCTGAAGAGAGACAGAAACACATTACTTTCCACCGACGAAACTTTAGAACC